TCTGGATTTGAACCCACAACCATAAGATCCACAGTCCAGAACCTTATCCACTAGGCTACTTGCTCTGCATTTGGATCATCAATCTAAATCTTGGTGTTAAATATGCACATACAATCAGAACCAACGATTTTTAACTGCTGGAAAATGTCAGAATACCAAAATGGAAATCATACTTCAAAACTAAATTATTTTTATCTTCCAGCAAAACCGTCTCCAGGGCACATATTGTTCCAAAATGCTATAGTTTCATCAGTCTTTTATCAGGCGATTGTATAGTTTACCGACCATCACAAACAACAAAATAAAGAAGGCCAAACTGCTTCATACAAATTTATTGTCCAATAATTTGTTCTAGATTAATGATTTATCCTCTACTCTGAGGACATGGTAGATTGTATTTCTACATTGTAAAAATAATGATTAACCTAAATGGTTGACTGACGGGACACAGATGGAAAAAATACCCATCACCGAGTCTTTTAAAGTATTTTTTGCAACGTCTTGAGTGTGTATTTGAAGTTTTTAGCTCAAAACCAGGACCGTCTAGAGGAGGTTCCTCGTTCATCTTTGTGAAGTGAAATAAAATCAGCTTCAAGAGTGTTTTGGGGTGTTCAACTGAAATTATAAATGGAACCGGATACTGACATCGGTGGTCAGGCAGCCAGGTATACATACCTCAAATGGGCCTATTTCACACTGGAAAACCCAGCTACAGAGACCAGTTTTTATAGCGATGCTTAACAGCCGACAATGTGCTTACACAGCTTCTCTTTACTTCCTTCACATCTAAGAGAAAAGTTGCTCATTCAGTGAAATAACAATAGAATTTTCCATACACATGCAACTTTTATCACGTGTGCCATTGTGAATAATGCTTAGCAGCAGTATGATTTTCTGCTATGGTAAGCATAATTTTTCTGCTTACAGTCAAACAATGTCATACAAAGTACATTCAGGTTCTATTTTGTGTACAGTGTATGTCACTTTTTGGATTACAATGTACTCTACAACACCGCCCTCTGTGGTGCTGCACAGCCCCATTACCCATGCGTCTTACCTGTAATCTTGTCAGCTGCTGCTCAATGTTAAACGATAATTTCTCTTCTAATTCAATGGCTTGCTTCATGACAGCAGCCATCTCAATAATCTTTGCTGTAGACGCCATGGAGTCCTACGAACAATCAAAATATTGTAACACACAGCCCACCTCTGAGGTCGTAAGCTTTACAAATACAGATTGTCATAATTTGACCAAGTAAGGAATCTGTGCAAAACTGAAATTGGAGTCAATATGAGATTTCTGGATATCCTGACATTTCCCAAGCCTTAGGAATCTTGCTGGCTTTGTATGGGTCATTCTAAAGTCTAGACCAATTCACTGACACCATTGTACTGAGGTGTTCCAGTCACTCTGCCGCGCATTCCTAAGCATGATTTTTCTGCGTTCCCATTGGCTGATGAGGAGTCATTCAACGTGCATATTCACGCGCATGGGGACACCTCAGTAATGGCTCTTCGTTCTTGTCACTGGATTGGTCTATAAGTGCTGTGTATTACCTTTGTTAACAAACATGCACCCTTCTCAGAAACAGTAATTACAATTTTTCTAGTTTTATTAAAAGAATACTAATAAACCTCGACAGTTTTTTCCTCTCAGACATATCCTACCCACTTTTTAAAAAAGCTAACTCGACTGCTTCATGGCATGGCAAAAGACCGAAAACACGCCGTAGGCAGTGATTTTTCCACAAAGTTCTTAAGACCACTGTCTGTGACCAGCTGTACCAGAACTGAAGGTGAAAACAATCCTTTTGTGCAGTGATTATAAAAAACCCTGTATAAAGACAGCCTCTATATAGTCAGATTCATTTCAGAGTACTGTACATTTAAAAGCTGAATACTGCGAGGAGATACATGTAATTACACATATCAAGTGTGCTGAAACTAAGGTAATACCGATTTGTAAGTGTGACGTCATTTCAGTTAAAACCACACCCACTGTATACAGAGCAACATGGAACCGGAGGCTAACGCACAACATGAGAGCTAATCCAATGGAAGTGGCGCGTGCGCGTGCATGACGATATCACTCAAGAACGTGGAAAATACAGAGCTCTGTGGGACTATACCAATTAATCGTAAGATATGCATGATAAAACTGGCTGCGCAAATAGACTAACTCTGGGTACTGGCGAAGTTTCACGTTTCCCTGTTAAAAACTCTCTGAGCGGAGATTGGTCACAAACGCAACCAACCAATACCCTGCCGACACAAAACATGTTTTACCACAGCATTGCTGTCCGTTCACAGGCAAGGGCGGAGTCTGAACCAAATTTCGGCACCAAGTTTTTTTTTTTGGGGGGGGGCTTGGTGAGGTCAAAGCTGTCGGAATTTCTTTATGTAACCTTTCCGAGAAGCAAGGCTAAATTTGGGGTTTTTTTACACGCTCTGGAAAGGTTGGGACATGAACTACACCCCCCTTGCAAGTCAAGTTTTCTTCAAAATTTGTGCATCACCCAAAATAAGAAGCCTCTTTTTGCAATGGAAATAATTCAGCCTGTGTCTAATGACATTTTACACCTTAACTATGTACATCTACTTTCAAATCCTCATACAAGATGAGAACATATAAACAGTGACTGTTCTATAAATAATGTACGATTCTTAAAATAGAAAGACATAAAAAGTTTTACAAAAAGGTAGGAAAATTTATACATACAAAACATGACAGCAGAGGAATGACTATTTTAATATTAGTGCAAACAGACGAATTCTTGCAAGAGTACTTTAAACGTAAGCAAATGGAAAGTTGCTTTTTCTTCCAAAACAATGCTGTATATCCTTACTCAATGGTACAAACCCTGTTAACATTAATGTTACACGGAAGTAACGTTAATATATTTTAATATTTAAACTTTGGCTTAGATGGAAAGAAGTATCATTTGATATGTCAGGGTACAACCATCAAGTTGGCCCAGCAAAGCTTGATGACCAAACGGTGAATATATTAGGACATTAGCAGGGAATCCTGGGTCGATTAATCAAATTAATTGAGGGCTCTTTGAAAGGACTGAATCTACAGGGCTTTCATCATAACATCGGTAAAAGGCAGTATCCTACATAGGAATTTTTAAAAAAAATAAAAAAACAAGGTCTATCTGCCTTGAGCAGAGCAATCCTTCATCAGTTAAAAAGACCGTGTTGGTGGAGAGTGCTCATCGTGCTGGCACTGATGCGACCGTAATGCTTGCATTTTCATTGTTGTGTGTGAACCAGTGAAGTGCAGTTCCCACCAAAGGACCCTCTGTTGTTAGGAAAATTGCACCCTCTCTTGGTCCCGCTCAGGGCGAATACTGAGTCACTTCTTTTCAATGACATGAGCAAAATGAATACAATTCTACCCCCCCCAAAAAGGGATGCCAACACACTGCAGATTGGTCACCAGCTAAAGCTGGTACCCATTTATACTCCTGGTTGGATCAAGGCAAGTAGAGTTTGTGACTTGCCCATGACACAAACTACGGACAGAAGTTGGATTTGAACCACTGACCCCCTAAGAGCGAATCACAAACTGTGACTACTGCATCACACTCTGTTCCACACTGTTCAAATATTTTGGCGGTAAAATTTGACACCTTCATCAATTTGGGTCTCTTTTGCTCAGTGTATAAAGCCAAAATAAGCTATACAAATGAATACTCAAAGGAATTGAAATCAACTGAATTCACATCTGGAGTTCTGCTCAGACACCTAAAGCTAATCATAAATTCTTCCACTAAATCTCTTAGCAAAATTCAAATTATACACAGTATGGGGCCATTTTTGAAAGAGAGAAGGGCACACTATACATGGTACAGGGCCAGTAATAAGCTAATGAAGACACTTAGGGTGAGGTTTGCCATTACCATGGCAGCCGAGTTGCATTTGTTGGTGTCGCAACAGATCTCGCAGGAGGTTTCGATGATGTTACTGTTTCCTGTGGTATCGTCCGAGCACTTGCTGATCAGTTCCCTGCTTGTGCACTCTGTGACCGTGGAACAACCCCGGTTGATCTCTGATAAATGATCACAGTTCCAATCATTGTAGATAAAAGCGGACCACAAATTACAGAATAAATTTACCATTCCAAGACAAAATAACCTCAAAATAAGGAACAATAAACAACTCCCTGGCACGAATACAGAAGTCTGACTGTGCAAGTGGATCACTTTAACCCCTTCGCGCCCGAATACGGTAAGAGACGCTGTAAAAATTGAGATCCTAAGCCTACTTTTCAGCTATTATTCTCGGCTCACGCTCGAGCAAACAGGGTGAAAGAAGACACACGCTGGCTCTTGTATAAATGGTAATTGGCCTTTGCGTGTTGCCAAGAAATGAAAAGGCCAAATTTGCATCATAATCACCAGCTTCACAATAGTCCCCACTTTGAAAAGAGGCAACGGGAATGTGGAAGCGTGAGTTGGGCCACATGCCACCGAACAATCAGCCTTTTCACCGTGTAATTCAAAGCGTGCAGAGCATGCAGGGCCACAAACTGAGAATTTGCGGTTTGGCAGGTGGCCTTCATGGCCAAGCGAGGCTGGAATTCTCGGAGTCGGTTTTCAGAAAAAAAATTCCTGTCGACAAGGGGTTAAGATACATGTATTCCAAACTGTTTCAATGAGTCAGTCCAGTATTTCAAAAAAGCAAGGTCATTCAGGAACAAAGCATGCATGCAAGTCTGCCAAAGGCCACGCCGATTGGTTGGATCTCGCACTCGCAATCAAATGACCTCAGATGTGCTTCACTTTGAGCGAACCCTGTTGGAATACCAAACTTACTTGTTCACAAACGATACAAAATAAAAAAACACCCAATATCATACGTCAGTCGACCATTTTTTTCCTGCCAATAGGGGGAGCTCTTTACTAGCAACTCCCCACAAGCTACTCACTGCCATCTTTCTCCACATGCTTGCTACACCTGACCAGGGTGTCATGGCGGTCGCGCGGATCCCGTGGGCATGTCTCTGTCACCCTACCAGACCTGTCATCCATGAAATCAGGCTGGCAATCACGGCAGGCATAGCACTCCAGTGCAGTTGCTATTGGAGAGTACAATTCAAAAAGATAAAGCAAGGAAATGACGACTTTATCTTTATGAATAAAGGAGAAAAGCAACATCAAAAAAATAACAAAGTAAAATACTGCACAAGAAAGATTCTGTTTATTTGAAAATTGCAACAAGATTCCATAACCAGGCGTCACATGTCACGTTAAGACGTCTGCACTAGTAAGCAGGAGGTCGTGGGTTCGAGTCCCATCCAAGTCAGCTTGTTACTTTTTTCACAAGCTCTCGGACTAGCACTGAGCATACAGTGTTTATTAATATATGCGTTGGGTAAGGGCAAAACCTGTTATATAGACTTCGGACAACTCGACTGTTAAGACAACTTGGCCATTTGCCAAGTTGTCCGTTAGGACAACTTGACTTCGGCATTGAGACAACGTGACTGTTGAGATATTTCCACATAATGTTTCAAATAAATGGGTAGGTCAGCATGGGTACAAGAGTCTTTAATCCATTTGTTGCATTTGACATTGTGTGCGTCCCATGACGTTGCATTTTGGACAATTTCAAGTGGGCTGGGTAGCACAGCTTTCACAGGGCTGACACACAGAACAGCGGTGCTGCAATGTAGCAGCTTCTCCTCTCTAGCACTCGCAGCCCGGCCCAGTTGGTCCAACATCTGCCCAATTTCCAGATGCCACTGAGGTATCATTCCCGACTAAATCTCATGACAATGCTATGAACGTGCTAAGTTTCAAAAGTGTGTAGGCCTAGTGTGAAGCAAGAAGTAGGTAAAATTGCTTCCCACCTGACAAGATACTGTAAGTAGATCACACAAAGATTGCCATCATCATATTAATATTGACTCAGAAATGGGGCCTCGGCCTATACAGCTACATGAAACGTGAAATTTCATTATTCCCTCTAATTATAAGGCACAGTACATATCTCAAAAAACAACTTGGCAGAGTACCCCCAGATCTGTGGGGTCCTACGTCCACTTCTCTCCCACGTTCCAGGGATAGGGTGGGCAGAGCAGACAACTTGTCTATGATTTCAACGGCTAGCTTGTTTCATTCTCCACAGACGCCATGTCTCAACGGTCGACTTGTCTCTCCTTTTTACGCACGGACGGTCGAGTTGTCTCAATGGTCGAGTTGTCCGACATGGCTGAAATCAAGTTGGCGAACGGTGTGTTCCTTCCTCCATGCCTGTCCGGACCACGGAAAACTTTCCCTTCCTCCATCATGTCCATGCTTGAGTCAAGTCTGACGTCATGTTCGTCAGTCCATAGTCATGATGGTCATGAATGTAATTTGTATCTCGCAATTGAACTAGCCTACATTATGTCCACTTACCGATACCAGTTCCACATGACAGCAAAAGGAAGAACAAGATAAAGTTCTTCATCGTACGAAACGTAGGCCTACGTCTGTTTTCTTTCGTTTAAATTGTTAAATTGAACCGACGTTAGGCTACATCAGAACTGTTTGGCATGATTGACTTTACGTTTCGCGTAATATTACTACGCCCCAACTACAGCATCAGTCCCAACTATAGTTGGGCCGGCCCAACTACAGCACAGAGGTCTAGCGTGCATGTGTCCAGCATATGCCAAGTCATAATTGCTTAAAATATCATGTCATAGATGAAGTGCCATATTTTAGATGAATTATGTCTAGTATGAAATACATAAACTTGGTCATTAATGGTTGGGCCAGGTTAACTACAGTTGGGACTGTCCCAGCTATAGTTGGAACAGAAGCTATAGTTGGGGCGTAACAATCTCATGAGGGTTACACTGTCTGTGGTTACACTACACACCATGTGTACATCATACATGTACGCGCCCGTAGAAAACAGTGCAAAATCAGACCGAAATAGCGCCGCCTGGTGACCCTCGGAAAGAGGTAGGCCTCCATTTTTTTCACTGGAAATTCAAAGTTATGACCAGAAGATCACTTTTCGTTTCTATTTTATGGGGGTTATCCACAATTTCTTTTTATTCGCCTTTCCCCGAAAATACCCCAAAATAGTAGTTAAACTACGTGCTCAGCTCTGAATGTAACCGCCCGCTTCTATCCAAAATAGGCCCGCAATTTTGTGTTTTTTTGTGAAAGAAACTCACCCAAACTGGAAACTGTCAGTCCCATATTTGGGATTCATAAAATATTTCTATGATCCCCCCCGATTATGGCATGTCTTATTGTAAAAGCTTGTTTTGTCACAAAATATTAATGAGCTCGCCGGCAAGAAGTACAATGATTTGTTGGAATACACCCCTGAAGTGTACGATTTGAGAGTGCCATGTTGGGGGATGGGAGGGGCACGGAACAGGCCAAGGAGCGGATAATGAACAGTCGAATAAAAATGTAAGGAGGCGTATTACCGCCACAATATTTAAAAAATTCTCGCCCCTATCGTGTACGTACATGATACGTTCAAAGTTATCATGTACGTACAAGATAACTATCGTGTACGTACACGATAAGTATCATGTACGTACAC